GTTATAATAGACCCGAATGTTAGGGTAATTCGTGTTCAAACTAAGTACCGACAGAAAGAAATAAACTAATAAAACCTTTACTCTAATCAGAACCTTAAAAATCCCTTGAAAAACCACATTTCCCTATGCATTTCCAACCTAAATCTTCCCTCAAAATTATCAGCCTCATCAGAGGCCAAAAAAATATCTGTAAAATCTCATAAAAATCATCATATGTCAGGGGTATTGAAAGCTTCGTCCCACTTCGACTGTCGGTCCCTAATGGGTTTATTGTGTGTAGGGTTGGAAAATCGATAATCTTGGGCGGATCGGGAATGGAAATGTGCGCAGTTGGCAATCAGATAATGATGATGATGATGTTGAATTTGGATTTCCAAGGGGGGAGTTTTGGCTTCCTTTCACTCGGATTAACTTGCTATTGTTACCAAAATCTCTCGTGTTCCAATCGCTCTCTCTTTCTCTCTATCTATCTATCTCTCTCTCTCTCTCTTTGCTGTGACCCAAAAAGTAATGAGCAAAAGAAGAAAAGAATTTAAATTTGCAAGCGAAAGAAAACCAGAAAGTTCCATTAACAACAAATATTTTTGGCAGCCTCAATTTTGGTGTTCTCTTCAATTTTTTATGTTTTTTGTTTTTGTTGCTGCGGGAGCGGGAAGCTGTTCAGTGGGGCTTACGGGGGTTTTTTTTCCCGCCGATTGCGAGCGAGCGAACATTCTTTGAAAAGCACAGGCCATCCATCACTCAAGCACTGAGAGAAAATGTTAAAGGGAAAATGTAAATTAGGTTATTATAAAGCTTCAGCTTAGGTTGTGATTACAGAAAACAAAAGATTTCGAATATTTAAACATTAAACTTATAAGAATACTATTTTATTTCAAAATTTACAGATCTAGAATTATACTCCCTTAAAAAACCGAAATTCCCATTACTAAAGTCCAAACTGATCATGATTATTCTATATTTAGAACACACTATCTCCCAATTTTTTTACTCTGTGCGAAAAACGCTCGAAAGAGAGTACAAAGAGAGCAAGGCTAATTCGGTTTTCTGTTTCGAGTTCGAAATGAAAACGAAGCGAAGCTCAAAAATCCCAAATCCGAATTCGAATTGGAATAGGAATTGGAATTGGAATTGGGAGCTGTGAAATGAGCGGCGCGAAATCATAATGGAAATCAAAAATAGCAACCAAACACACACACACACAAACATGTAACACATATGGACAAACAACGAAGTGTGTGGAAAGAAAAGCCACAAAAAATGTGTTCGACACGAAAATTGTTGAGCAAAAGAAACGGCGGAAAAAATTCAATTACATATTGACTTTTGTTTATTTGCTGGCGGCTTTGAAATGGATTGGAATTTTTGGTGTGTGTTGTGTGAAATCACGGACTCCAACTCTTTTTTTCTCGTCTTTTTTGTATTTTCGAGCGGGGTGCGGCATAAATTTTCACTTTGCCAAGCGCTATAACAACAACAACAAAAGCAACGTAGAAGTGTTGCCAAAAATACAAAAGCAAACACACACACACACTGGAATTTGGAATGCCAAACGAGTTTTGGAACTCAGGTTCCTCTGCTTCTTCTTCTTCTTTCACTCGGCGAATATTTTCTTCGTCATTCGAGAGCCAAAAAAAAAAACCATTTAAAAAAAAATAAACAAAAAGGCTGAAAAAATTTCCAACTTTTATTGTTAATTTCTTTAAGCGCAGCTTTTTAAAGCTGCTGCGCGGGCGTCGACGCAGGCAGAAATACACTGCAATAAAATATATGTATGATCAGGTTCTTTTATGAAGTCTAAACTATACGTTTGGACTTCTATGTACATATGTATGTATGTATGTACATATGTTTGATCTCAAGCATATGCTTAAATCTTAACTTTTTTAGAAACCTTTTTTAAAATATTGAAAATTTTACATATATTTTGAAAAACGTTAAAGAGAGAAATTTTTCAGAATAAGATCAAATAAAGATCATAAAGACTTAATTCCATAATTCATAAGTAAATTTTTTATTATTGAAACTCTAAACATGATCTTTTTCAGATGATGATTTCAAAATACATATAAAATAATATCATACAAACATTTTTAAGTCCAAAAAGATCATATTTCTTAACGTGCATTAGCATTATTGTTGTTCTTGTTTTTCGTGTAATTATGGTCTTGTGCTGACTTTTTTTTATATTTATGTACATATGTATGTACATATATATTTGCTCAAATCAAGTAATCATTTATATTTAAGCATCAAAATCAAGTTTTGGCAATTGCTAATGCAAGACGGGGCAAAAAAGTGGGCAAAGATTTAAACAAATGTATAATGTATGTATGCATGTATGTATGTACATACATATATACATATGTATATACGCTTGTACATTGACGATTTTATTAGAAAGTAGCAATTGGCAAAAACAAACAGATATGCAAAATGGCTAAATGCAAAAAAAAAAAAAAAGACAGAAAAAAGAGTGGAACCATAAATTGAAAGTTTAATCTTTTCTTGACACCTTTCTACTTCCCCAGCTAAAAATTTTAATTGCCTCGCTAAAAAATAATGACAGGTGTCTGGTGAATTATGTTCTTCAGCGTTAATTACATTTATTTTATTTGTAGTAATATTACCTGCATTATCTCTTAATTTATTTAAGATTTTTTTAAGTTCTGCCTTCTTGATGAGATCATTATATTTTTGGTAGATTATTCTATTGAACGGTTCTTTGACGGTTATAGAAAAAAAACATTAAAGACCTTACATTAAGATGATCTAAGTTGTGAAATATCATAGAGATTTCATAAAATTTAAAAAGTATATTGAGTATCTCAAAAAATTACAATTTTCGTTCATATTTAAGCTTTAAAAAATCATAAAAACATCCACAATAAATTCCCAAATTTTTCCATATTTTTGTGATCTATAGAGCTTTTTACATAGAACTCCATATGCCATATTTTCTTATGTGCGAACCGAGAAAAAACAACACTTTCTTTGCCTTTTCATTTAGCGCGACTTCCTTTTGCCACAACCCCTTCTTCTTCTTCTACACTCTCTACCTCTGCCCTTCCTCAACAACAATCCCTTTTTCCAAGCAGACAGTTGCAAAAAGCAATCAACTGTATCGTCGAATATTGCCCATCCTGCTCACACTCACTTGTTCTAGCGCACGAACGATCTTCGGATTTTCGAATGCAGCAGAAAGAACAACAAAAGCAGAAACTTCGTGCTTACACATACACACATACGCATGCATGAGCATATACATATACGCACACTTGCAAAAGCCTATTTCTTTTTTCGACTTTTATTCGAACTTTTTTGCAGCGATTTTTCATTAACAAACGGCAACTCTCAGGAATAAAATCGTCGTCGCTCCGCTCGTTAAGTTCTCGTTGTTTCCCACCCACAAAAAACCCAAATTTATTTGTAACTTAAAAAGCTGTGCGCATTACATAAATTCTAGTGAAGTATCAACAAAAAATATGACAAAACAAAAAAACTGAGTGATGTAAAATACAGTTTTTGTAACGAGTGCATAACTATATAATTTATTATAATTAAAGTTCAACTGCAGTTGAAAAGAGACAAAATAGATAATAATATATAGGTGTTTGTGAGTGTTTGCCGCCTCTCCTGCTTGAGAGTGAAAGGGAGAGGGAGAGAGAGTGAGAGAACGTGACCGAGTTGCAATGAAAACTCCAATGGAAATTCAGGTGAGTGATTCTCAAACGACGTGATGTTATGCGGGGATTATCATCTCTATACTATATACCAGCAAAAAGATCTGTAGAATTTATGTTTTTTTTTGCCATGGAGACACTCCTAAGATCAATTAGTATTGGTTAGAGCGTGTAGAATTTCGCACTGGAATGTTAATTTTCCAGTCTCCAGTTCATCTTACCCCCCTTTGAAAACCGTTAAAAATGAAGGTACATATTTTAGGTACCGCATAATTTTTACACACAAAAATTAGAGAGAAAACGCGAGGCGATGAAGTCATGCTGGAAGCCAAAAATAAATCAACGCCGATCATAAAAACGTTTGGAGAGTGCACAAAATATAATTTGCGCTTTTTAGTAGGAAATGCATTGCACACAAACAAACACATAGCCATTATCTTTCATCCCCCTCGCACACATTCAAACAAATGCAACGGGAGAGGGAGAAAGGAAAATAGCGTGAGATAGAGAGAGCTTGCTCGGCAACGGTAATTTTTACCATTTCGAACATTATGGCTTCGCTTTGCCTGCAAAAAGCAAAAAACAACAAAAATCGAGCAAACAAAAGCTAAAAGCAACAACAAAATCTCGCCCCTTGCTGGGGAACAAAAACAATAACAACTGCAAATGATATTTTCGAACTCCGCCACATAGAACCAGAGTTGTCAACAGCTTTAAGCTTTTCCCTAAGGGGGGTTCTATCTTGTAAGACATAAAATGGTAATGGATTATAAGAAACCTTTTAGCCATATTGCAAGTATTTTATCAAGTTTATTAAAGATTAACACTGACGTTGGTTTTTAAAAAACACTACCTTAATCATTATAAACTTGCTTAAGTGTAGCCATAGAAGTAAAATTATAAAATTAAAAAAATATTTATGTAGTTCAGAGCAAAACTCCTTAGGAGTTGTTTGACCTTGAAAAAGACTGTCATAAGACCATAATTTAATTAGTTCATTAAATAATGTTAGAAATTGATACGTTAGTCTTGCTGTATTGCCTATCTTCTGTCGATCTGTTCTTGTGAGTTGGCAACTCTAGCTGGCAACTCTGCGCGGCAAGCATACAAAAAAAGCACACGAAACGTATATGGAAGTGGAAGAGGGGGAGACAAACAGACGACGTCAACTCATTTTTCGAACTCGCACTCACACTCTCATTCGGACTCGCACTCTTCGGGTTTCGCTTCGGTTTCGTTTCTAACTCTCTCGGCGCTCTTCGGTTAGTCCGCTTTATGGGCACCTTTCGGCTTTTTCGTGCGCCAGCGGAAAGTCGCGTCAGTCGTCAGTTTTTCTTCAGTGGCTTCGCGCGTCCGCAATTTTCAGTGTGTGGTGCGTTGTTGCTGCTGCCTACTCTTTTTTCTTTCTGCTCTCCACGGCAGCGGGAAAGGAAAAATACATACACATGCATACAGGGCCCCATCACATACAGTAAAAATAAATTCAACTTTATTGCTTTTCCCCCGTCGCGTTATCGTGCGTGTGTGTGTGTGTGCCACTGTATTTTATACATATATATATTTTATTATGTATATGTATATATGGCTTGGAAAAGCAACACCAAAATTTGATATGTGCAAAGTTTATTGACGACTACGTGCTGCCTGTGATTCTATTTCGGTGTGTATTAAAAATTGATAAATAATATACAGTAAGAACTTGCATTTGAACTGTACTTTGCGAATTCATTTGCTAGTGTGTGATTCTATATGTGTGTTAGTTTTTGCATATCAAATCGATACTTCCAGTGGTGTTTCTATCGATTTTTCCCAATGCTCGCTATACGAGGAGAAAGCTTTTCACCAGCACGAAAAAAAGAGAACGAGCGAGCGAGAGAGGTAGAGCTTTCCCGCAAAATGCAACGCTGAAGTAAATGACGGGCGATTTTCATTAATTTTCACATACGCACACACAGCCAATGGCTCACTTTCCATGCAAATGAGGTCAAGTGTTGCAGTGGGAAATGTTTTCTATACAAGTACACACATGCATATACGTACATATGTGTGTGTGTTGCACAGTTATATAAGCTTTTTATTACAAATTAAAATGAAAATGGAAAGCTTGATTAGGAGGTGTAATTAGTAAACAAGTAGCATAGATAGAGCTATTCGAATAAAAAACGAATTGTTAAAACTCCTAGAAAAAAAGCACGTTTTCATTTCGATAGATTCCCAAAGTCTCGATGGCCGCCATCTTGGTTTTTCCCCCACACATAAAATATTTTGTTCAATGCTAGGCCCTCTCTCTCGCTCGCTCTTTTGGCTCCCCTTTTCTTTCGCTCCCGCTCTTTCCGTCGTCTTACTCCCTCGTTCGTTTTTATGTTTGTTCAAAAAAAAAAAAAAAAAACGGAAAGACAAAAACAAAAACAAGCGTGAAATTTTCTCTCTGCACTTTTCACACACACTTAGAAAATCGGGAGAGACACGGCGGATAGTAGTGAGAGGGTGGTAGTGGGGGAACGAGGAAGAGAGAGCAGTCGCCACATATTTTTGTTTCCACTTTGTGCTACACTTCTGCTACGCCGCTTTTGTTGTTTTCTTTTCGACACGTTTACACATTTCCATTTTTCATATTTTCGTGTCGCCCTAATCTCTTATGGGTATATTTCATCTGCAACGTTGCCAAATTTCACCTGCGACTTTTGCAAAAGTTTCATTTGTTTACATTCTACGCACATGTGCAGAATAATAACAATAATAAATGCGATATAAAAAGAAGCTTTTTTGCGCAACAAGTGTAGGAAATCAGAAACTGTTTTTTATTCGCTTTTTGCCTTAATTCTTTGTTTACCATTTATACATATATATATTTCTTTAAGAGTCATCAGTTTTTCTTTTTATTTATAATAAAAAAAACACTAATGACCTTGCAGCAAATTTCTGACCTACACACGTACACGTGCCAAAATAAATGTCGCACTTTTCTTTCTCTATGTTCTATTACTATTCTTGTTATTACAGTAAACATAGAAAAATATAGAATAAGAGAAAAAAGAAAATAAATAAAAGCGAAGGAAGGAAAATAATGAGCGGCGCCCGTTATCGCTGCTTGCTCTTTGGCCGACTTTTATTTTTGTTAGTTTTTATTTACTTATTCGCTTTGGCCATTAGCAAAAAAAAAAAAAAATTAAGTTCATTGAACTTTTGTGCGTTTTATTTCGTTGTTTATTGTTGATTATTTTCGGTGGCTTAGTTTTTTCACTTTCACTTGTTGGCCAGTGGATTTAATAAGTTTTTTGCCGGAAATTAAAAAGTTGCAAAAAGTGGAAAGATAATAAATGAGAGTCTACAATTTTAATAATTTTATACTGTATTCAAACTTTAACTTAAGTATTAAATCTATTAAAAGAAAAATAGTTAAATGACAGATAAATTAGTATCCCAACATTGAAAAATCGATCTACTTAACGATCGTTAAATTCTTTAAAATGGCAGTTTGGGTAAAATTCCCTTAGCCAAAACTGGAAAAACCAACAAATATAGCATGCCCAAAAACTCTACAAAACGACATCACCAAAATCTCGAAGATAGACATATAGATAAACCCTCACCAAAGCACTGACTTCCTCTGCTCCCACACTAATATATATAATGCCCGCAGTCAGTTGGTCGCAGATACATTTACACAGATACAAGATACAGATACAGATACATTCGCGCATAACAAGCCCTTAACATTCACTTTAAATAGCTTTTCGAGAAAACAAGTTTTGTGGTTGACGGTTTTGTTTTTGTTTTTTTTTTAATACATTTTTCGCTGCTTTAATGGCAAAACGACATTTTCTGCGGCCGAACAGAACCGAGCGAAGCGGAAAAGGAAGGGGAAAAAGAAGCATGAAAATGGAAAACGATATGTTTCCAATACACTTTAAGGAATTCCACAGTTGTGAACAGAAATTTGAGATATATGTATGGGGTATATAAAAGGTGATCTAATCTATATTTTTATATAGTTTAATCTTGAAAGTTTAAGTTTTTCATCTTGATAAAACTTGAAACTCATACTTCATTAACTTTTGATTATGTTTTATTTGATTCTTTGGAATATTTTGTCACTCTTAAATAAATATCATTAAATGCAATGCTTGCTTAATGACGATTGAAGAAAATATGTGACTTGCATAAAAGCTTACTGGGGAGAGGGAGTTTCCATGACTAAAAAGACCAGTTTAAGATGACTTTTGGAAAAACCATTGATCTTTTCCAAGAAATTATAATCACTAATCCTACTTCGGGTAGTTTACCTAATGTTGACTCAGATCGTAGGTTTAGTTTCACCTGATTTCGATATATGCATATAACATCTACTCTTGCTTCAGCTTTTCTCAATCTTGAGCTGTTTTTAGCCTGTTTTTTTTTTTTGCTGCCCAGCTACATGTGCAAAGCTGAAAAAGGGTGTAAAAATAACTAAATGAGCGACAGACGCCTACGTGGGTTTTCAGAGGTGTTTTTTCCCTCCTTTTTCTTATTTTTTGTTTTTGTATTTTTTTTTTGGGGCTTCGAACCGAGTGAGTTTCATAGCCATTCAGCAACATTTTCAGCTGCCAGAAATGAAATTATTGAAAGTCAGTGCGAGACTCTCGTCGTCGAGTTTATTTTTACGTCGTAAATATACAAATTTTATGTCTCACATACCATTTAGTACATATTTATATATATACACATGTATGAGTGTGTGTATTTGAGCAGAAAAAGATTCCACTTTATGCAAATCTTGTGGGGGAAGTTTTATATATTTTTTGTTCTTGGCCTCCACACATACACTCTTCTTTTTTTCTCCCTCTTTCTTATTTTTAAGTTATTTCCATTTTAAATTTGTTTTTCTTGCATAGTGTGTGTGTGTGTGTGTGTGTCATGGCGATTTTTCTGGCTGCGATGTGAAATGAAATGAGTTTGTTAAACTGGTTTTTCTGCCAACGACGATCGGATCGGATCTCTAAACCAACAAACAGAACTCGACTCTTTTGCCTTTGCCTTGGCGACCGACCGACCACCCGCTCCTCTGTTCGAAATGGCACAGTTCTTGTATATTCTGCGAAACCGGTTTTTCTTTTGACTTTTGCACACAGACACATAGAACTCTTGAAAACCAGCCCCATTAATATTCCCAAGTTCAGAATGTTCTCTCTCTCTCTATCTCTTTCACTATCTATCTCTTTTGCCGACCAAGAATTTTCTTTACTCCAAAAAAAGAAAAGACAAAAAGGGGCTCCAGACTTTGGCGGCACTTCCTGTGACCAAAGAGCAGGAACGACAGTTGTGATCCAACATCTGCCGGCAGGACGAAAAAAGGGAAAATGGAGGGAGAGAAATACATGCAGACATAATGCCATACATATGGCAAAATGGAGAGGGGGGATCGGCTTAGTTTAGGGGTTGATTGCAACCCCAAAAAGAGAGTCGTCGAGTCCAACGACAGGAACCTCTACCTCATCCTCCTACTTTTCCCTTGAAACTGGTTTTCTCCCGGTTTTCAAAAGGTAAAACCCAACCGTCTGGCGCGTGCTTAGAAAAAAGGGGACCAACATCCTTTATACTATCCCGCTTGCTTGCCGTCCCCCATTCCACTCTCAATCGCCGCATCCCATTTTCATTTCCATCTGGCACTCACTCGAAAAGTCTGTTGGCATTGAACCCTGAATTAATTAAGCCTCAATGAGGAAACATAAAAACAAGTTTATAACAAAAGGATTCAAATGGCTTAAATGTAGCCAAGCTCGTATCTTAATTTATTATAAACCGATCTAACCTTATACTATTTCCGCCCCATTTTCATCTGTCATTGATCCTTAGTATTATAAAGATATGTTTTTTTTGATAGGCAAATGCAACCCAATCAAATTGCGAAAAATAATATCAGTTTTTCGTACTACAGAGGTTGCAATATTAAAATAAGAGTTGAGTTTTTCGCTAACAACGTTTCGTAAAATGAAAATTTTGAACGTAGTTTGATAGTAGATCTCAACACAAAATAATATTAAGGAAATAATAAATAGATTCTATGATTGATCATATAGCAACTGGCTTTTAAAAGTAGGGAAAATGTATAGAGTTTTCTTAAACTCCCAGCTGTTGCTATAATAAACTAATAGATGAGTTTTTCGCTAACAACGTTTCGAAAATGAAAATTGAGCGTAGTTTGATAGTAGATCTCATCACAACTTTCTAGGACTTATTAAAATATAGATCATTTTAGCAGCTAGCTTATAAAATGTTTGGAAAATCAAATATTTTCCAGACAAACCTGCAGTTGCAAAAATATAAACCAGTTGGGTTTTTCGCTAACAACGTTTCGTAAATTGAAAATTGAACGTGGTTTGATAGTAGATCTCAACACAGGACTACCAGAACTCTTAATTCTATTAATATTTTATGAAAATGTATCATTTGTAAAGTTTTTAAACTTGATTTAAACAGAAAATAGGATTCCTTGATCGATCATAAGCTGTATTTGTCAACCTATCACCGTTCATTATCCCATTTGCAACAGCAGTTTTTTATAGTGTTTTGGATTTATTTTTGCCAAAACATTTCCAAATGCAGTTGCCAGATGAAAATTCAGTTGAGATTTTCGCTAACAATGCTCCGTAAAATGAATTTTGGACATCGTTTGATAGTAGACCTCAGCACAGTCTCTCTCATTCTCAGAGACTCTAATTACCGACGATTGCTCATAACTCCACCCCCATATTTAGTATATCTTTTGAGGGCTTCTCTCTCTCTCTCTCTCTTTTGGGAAAACCGAGAACCCCAAAGAAGTCCGAGCCTTTTGCGACCAACTGTACTTTTTCCGCACACGCACACAAACTCATTGTATGTAGCTGTTATAGTTCGCTCTCGCTCGCTTTTCGGTCACAGGATCCCAATTCATAATCCTCCACCATCTGCGCAAAAATAAAACCTTGCAATGTGCAAAGAGCGCGCGTCATTCGTTTTCACAAGAAAAAAGAAAAAGTGAGAGAGAGCGAGAGAGATCCTTTTTCGCCTCCCTGCAGTTTTTACCTACTTCTCTGTGTGTGCTTCTTTGTGTGCGTGCTTGTGGAAAACCCCTCCAATGCATCATCATTGGGGTAAAGACCTGGATGATGCCGCTTCCCTTTTGTGATTTATACAGAGGAAAAAAGCAGGTCACTATTTATAGTCCTTAATCTAGCCAGGATTAACCTTTCACTACCATCTGAATGGTTTTAATTTATATTCTAATATTTTAATATAAACTATTTGGAAAAACTATGTATTTCACATTTATAACTAAAGTGATCATCATTTCAATATTAGTTTTTCTTCACGTGTATTTTGTGCGCATGCCTTGCACCTTCCTTTCATGTGGACCATGTGTTTGTGTGTGTGTATAACAGAATCTCGAAAAACTGATCCCTCCGCATAACGGTACTTGGCTTGGGTCGCCCTGGGGGTGATTCTCTCCCTCTCGCTCCCTCCTTTCCTCTGTCTAGGTTTTGCGCCTGGATCTCTGGCGAAAACTGAACACAAAAAACTGAAACTGGAAAACACAAAGGGGAGTGAAAAAGGGAGCCAGCCCTTCAGTCACGTAGGCATTTATGTAAGGCCATCTTACTCGCTCCCTGCGTCAGTGAACAGTTGGTGTGTAGTTTTTAACTGAAAACTTCTAGGATTTAAAACCTAAAATTTATTCAAAGAACAGTTCATTTAAAGTAAACTACACATCCTTTTTGTATTTTGTTTATAAAATCAATAATGAAATAGCAATTGTAAATCAAAGTACTCTTAAATCTCAATATAACCGTTTTCCAGCCAATTTTCGCTACCTGTGTTTGTGTGTGTGTATTTCCCGTTATTTTAGTTTGGCACGATTATTGCCGCTGCAGTTCTCCTTTTCCTTTGGGCTCCTTTTTCCTCTGCCACTGGCGACGTCGCTGCCGCAGTCGCAGTCTACCTGCCTCTCGCTCTCTCTTTCTCCTTTTGCTTACTTGGCAATTTCATAACGTGCCCCCAAATGGGAGAGAGAGAGTGACGCGCTCAACTCTTACTCGCTCCATCTCGCTCTAACAGCAACTTCGTTTGCGGGTCGAGCAAGAGAGTGCGAGCGAGTGTGAGAGCATTAAATGAACGCGAGAGAGCGCCAAGCAGCAAGGCGTCGTTTTCGAGGGTCGCTCAGTTGCCGTCACATTTGCGTCGTTTCATTCGGTTTTGTGCGCTCGGAGCTTTTGTTTGGTTCTCTGCGTTGTGCGGCAGATCGCGAGGCAACGCGTGCGGTTTGCTGGCTAAATTTTTTACATACACACATCACACATTCAAACAGCAGAAGCGGAGCTAGAATAGAAAAAGCAACCTTTGCAGTGCTAATTATTTACAACACAACAGTAAGTGTGTGTGGAAGTGAAGCATAATCGCGAGTGAGCGAGAGAGATTGTGAAATAGCGCCCATATCTATATGATGGGTGCCATTGTATAAGTGTGTCTGTGTGTGTTTCAGTTTTGTGTGCTTCTAATGAAAACGTTCTATTTTTAAATGCGCCGCACACCATAAAAAACTGAAACGATTGCTCCACACTTCAACTTTAAAAATTATCAGTCAGCGAGCGTTTTTGTGTGTCGGTGTGACGATGGGGGGAAAACTGAAAATCATCATAAATCTTTGCCTGTGTGTGTCTACTTGTGAAATTTTCCACAACGGAGAAAAAGGGAATTAAAAAAAACCCAGACAGAAATATATGTGTTCGCGCTGCAGCGACGCCGACTGCGAAACTTCCCCTCTTTATGTTTCATGCTTCGTTTTTTTCGTTTTACTTTTTTCGGTCGTCACGAAGTCTCTTCGGCTTTTATCGTGTCCATCGATCTCCAACACCAACACACTCAGTCGGGAAGCAGAAACAGAAGCAACTGTAACACAAATCCGTTAGCTCTCTCTTTTGACGAGAGAACGTGTGTGCGAGTGTTGGCGAAAGAGCAAAGTTGAAAAATTAACAAGAAGCAGAAACTCGCTCGAAAATAATAATAATAAAAAAAACTGCATTTCGCTGTGCAAAATTTGCATACAAGTATGTCTCTAAGTCTGTGCCTGTGTGTGTTTGTGAGAATGCAAAACAACAATAATAATCTAGCTGAAATTTCAAGCGTGTAAAAGAGATGAAAGATATTGTTATTGCTGCGCTGAAATTAAACATGAACATGAACTTGACCTTGAGCCGCATTATTGCGAGTTTTTGTTTCGCATTACTAATTTTGTTTTTTATTTCCTCTCTCTTTTTGCAGCATAACTGCTGACACACAAAACAAAAACTGAAAGAAGAACCGAAGGCGAAAGCAGTTTTATTTTCGTTTAGACACCCCACTCTGTACCCCTAAGTTTTGCCCATTGTAAATCACCAAACGAGTGGCGAAAAAACCGCAAATCAGAGAGAGAGCTCAACGTTCGGCCCCAAGGACGTGGGCCCAAACCCCCAGGAACCCCCATTCAACCATCATCCAAACAAAAAATCCCCTTAAGACACCAAAATGGATGACGATCAGCAGTTTTGTTTGCGGTGGAACAACCATCAGAGCACACTGATCAGCGTGTTCGACACGTTGCTGGAGAACGAGACTCTAGTCGATTGCACGCTAGCCGCCGAGGGCAAATTTCTCAAGGCCCACAAGGTGGTGCTGTCAGCATGCAGTCCCTACTTTGCTGTAAGTTTTTATTATCTTAACCTTTTCTTGAAAACATTTTGTAACACGATGAAAATCTTCTTTTTTCTGTAGACCTTACTACAAGAACAGTACGACAAGCATCCCATTTTCATACTCAAGGATGTCAAGTACCAAGAGCTGCGCGCCATGATGGACTATATGTATCGCGGCGAGGTCAATATTTCGCAGGATCAGCTGGCCGCTCTGCTCAAGGCCGCAGAATCGCTGCAGATCAAGGGTCTGTCGGACAATCGCACTGGTGGCGGATCAGCCCCCAAGCCAGAGTCCTCCGGACAGCAGCATCATCGCGGCGGCAAGCTGAGCGGTGCCTACACACTGGAGCAGACGAAGCGCGCCCGCCTGGCCACCGGCGGAGCGATGGACGCGTCCGGTGATGTGTCCGGTTCGCGTGAGGGCTCCTCGAGTCCGTCGCGTCGGCGTCGAAAAGTTAGACGTCGCAGCATGGAGAATGGTGAGTTGTCAAGCGATTAGGATTATCTTTTATTTTGTTTAATATGAAAAAAAAAAAAAAAGAAAACGAAATTTAAAGTCGAGAACATTCTATTAATGGAATTAAAGAATTTTTGATAATTAGAAAGCTCTTCTTAAATTCTACATTACCTTAAATTATACTAACTTACTAAATCATAATTTCCATCCTTCTTTTTCCAGATGCCCACGACAACTCCAACTCGTCCGTGTTACAAGCCGCCGCCTCGAATCAGTCAATCCTCCAGCAGACAGGCGCCGGTCTGGCCGTCTCCGCTTTGGTCACCACCCAATTGGCCAGCGGACCGGCAGCCGGAACCAGCAGCCAAGCGTCGTCGACCCAGCAACAACAGCCATTGACCAGCACCAACGTTACCAAAAAGACTGAAAGCGCTAAACTAACATCCTCGACAGCCGCCCCAGCGAGCGGAGCATCTGCGTCAGCGGCCGCCGTACAACAGGCCCATCTGCAGCAGGCGCAGGCCACAAGCGATGCCATTAACACCGAGAATGTACAAGCCCAGAGCCAAGGTGGCGCCCAAGGCGTCCAAGGCGATGATGACGATATGGATGAGGGCAGTGTCATTGGTGGATCAAGTGCCGCCAGTGGACCCAATCCCGCCTCCGCCTCTGCATCCGCCGTCCATGCCGGAGTTGTGGTTAAGCAGCTGGCCAGCGTTGTGGACAAATCGTCGTCGAATCACAAACAAAAGATCAAAGACAACAGCGTGTCATCAGTGGGCTCTGATATGGTTATTGAACCCAAAGCCGAATACGATGACGATGCGCATGATGAGAACGTTGAGGATTTGACACTGGACGAGGAGGACATGACAATGGAAGAGCTGGACCAGACGGCCGGCACCAGCCAGGGTGGCGAAGGATCTAGTCAAAGTAAGTTAAATACAATATTTATTATTTTAACTTGTAACTTACATGGGATTTTATTTTAATTTACTAGCATATGCATGGCAACACGACAGATCTCAGGATGAACTTGGACTAATGGCACAGGATGCACAGCAACGGGATCCTCAAGGTGAGTGTTTGTTGCCTCTGAACTCGATTATATGAGCTACGAACAAATGAAAAAGCAAAAAGTACAGCTTAGCCCAGAAGTTTTTTAATAGACGAGAAGTTTTTTCGAATCAGCGAGCACGACAAACAACAAGCTTAAAAAAAATTCAAATGCAAATGCAGATAAAAAACCAAACGATTGAAATCCAACTTTTCAAGGTCACAAAACTCCATTTTAATCACACAAAACATTTTTAAAAGTTATACATATTTATTTCTTTTACAATTTTTAAAGTACACACACACACACTATACCAAAGTATAAAAAAAAGTCGTGCTCCGAAAAAAGCTCTTAAAATGTTGAACAAGAAAAAAAAGAACCATAAAAGAAACGTAGAATTTTTTCGAATATAATTTTCAACAAGATAGCAGACGAAAAAAAAAGCAAGCAACAAGAAAAAGTACAAATACAAACAATACCAAAAATAACAAGATTTGTGAACGAGAGTTTTGGTGCAGAGAAAATACAAAAAAAAAAAAAAAAAAAAACAATAGCAAAAACAGCAACAAAAATTAATGTTGAAGAGGGAGAATTTACGACTCTGATTTGAGAGAATTTGAAATGCTGGTTTTTGATTATATTTTTTTTTGTTTTTGCCTGCGCCACTCACTTCGTCACAGATAAATTAACCCGAAACAAGAATAATTTGTGCAAGTTGAAAGTATTACTTAAAAACTCTTTCTTTACTTAATATGATTTTTTACAAAACTAATCATTTTTTAATTACGACACACACATAATTCGTATAACTAGTAATCTTTTTTTTTTTTTTGTACATATCTATTTATTATGATTAATTTTTAACACACACACACTTTTGAAAAGAAAATGAGAAACATTTACCACTCACACACACACAACCACAAAACATATATAATTGCTATAAACCACAAAAAAAAAACCAACAAACCCCCAACCACCACCACCAACCACCCCTCTAACATTCTCATTTTACCATTATCTATATATATATGTATGATTCTATGTATGATCATTTGTTGTTGAATTTTCGTAATACGTTTCTTTACAATTGGTGTTTGATTAACTCTTAATTTTGCCTTATTTACTGTATATATATATAAATCGCATATTTCCAACATTCCCAAATATTTTTTAGTTGCTCGCCCGCCCACTCACTATCTATCTTCCTTCTCCCCCTCTCTATTCTCTATACCCTACCATCCTTCTCTTTCCAACATTAAGCCGTTAGCTGCAGAGCAAAGAAAATGAAATAGAAAATGCATTCCATAAGAAATCATAAAGTTCATGGTCACACTGACTCACCCATATACACACACACACACACACACCACTCAATCAACCACACTGCAGCTTTAAATTTAGGCAGAAAAATCAAAAAGAAATTCCCTTATCATTTAAGTTAGTGTTTAAATTTACGTATCAACAATGTTTCTATGTGTGTGCGTTTTGATCTCTCTCTGGCTCGATCGCTCGCTCTTTTTCCCCCTCTCTAAGCTGCTGTTTGTGTGCGTGTATCATTGTCCGTGTGTGTATGTGTGTGTGTGTATAGTGCGTGTATGTGTGAGTGTGCAGGGCTCTGTCCACACAACAACAACAACATGTATTTTCCCGCCCCACCAAAGAAAGCTCTCTCAGTACAGTCGCGTCAAAAGTTAAAAAAAAAAAAAAAAAGTTTGGCCACACTTCAATAGCAAATCTTCTAGCAAAACTCGATTATGTTTGTTCGCCTTAACTTTGTTTGCATTTTAAAAGCATAACACACACACACACTCACACATCCAAATCACACCCACGACGAACATTCGCAAACAAACAAAATCACCCAAACACACACACACACACACATACTCATTTTTCATTCTATATAGTTTTTGTGCCATTCCCATTTTGATTGTCCTCTTCTTTAGCAACTCTCAGCGCGTGCTAATGTTTTTTACACTAGTTTTTTTTTTATATACTTTATACATATTATTACGAAAATACGCATGCAGTTTTAAATTGTATTTTAGTACTATCTACTCTATATATACATATATATTTTGCTTTATTTTGGTTGACGGGACTTTTTTTTTGTTGTTTATTTTCCTTATGGATTTGTTTTTTTAGTTTTAAAGCTAGTCTGTAAGCTTTTCCGGTCGAAAGTAAAACGTGCTCGCGCTCTCGGGCTTTTCTTTCGTGAATTACTACGTCTATAGGGTTGGGGAATTCTTTTTCCTACAACCAAAAAGATGTACGCGGTATATTGTTGTTCTGTTGAAAAACCTTTTAAACCAAGTCAAGTGAAAAGTGTTGTTTGAAACTGATGACTGAGAGACGTGGAAAACTGCAACTGGAGGATCGTCGCTTTTGGAGGAGGATCTCAGCTGTCGGGGAAAAAGGTCTCATGTCGTTGCCACAAAACAAAGCACGTAGCCATCCAAGATGGTGAGGTACAATCGCAGCTTTGGGCATTTCGACGAGATCCATCTGTAACATCTCAAGACACCACCCAGCGAAGCATCCAAATTCAGCGCGGAAAACTCAGGTGCGTTTCCAGGTGAGTATGCTCCGCTCAACGGTATCGGTTGGGCGGAGTGCAATACAAAAATGAAGTAAATTTTTTATTTTAAGTTCATTTTTGTTTAAACCTTTAAAAACTTCCCGATCCTTAATCCTTTTATCCCCAAATCCTATATCACCAATTATTTCCCTTTTTCCCAACCAAAAATCAACATTCATTCCTCATCAAAAAAAAAAAAAAAGAAGAAATTTGATTTTACAGCGATTCCAGGTAATGTGTTAAAAGAAAAACAACTCAACAAGCGCTCTCTCTTTCTCCTGAAAAGAGTCGTTTTTAATGGGCCTTCCAGATGGTAAGCTATAGTGTAACTCCCAGTTTCTACTCTTCTTCCGATTTATTTCTAAGTGTACACCTTAAACTTACATTGTATATATCTATATATATATATTATATATATTTTAGTTAAAATTTCATTTTGCGTTTGGCGTTTGTTTCTCGAAATTGCTTGAAGCGTTGCCAAACAAACACCAAACACCGAAAAACACATATTCTCCTACGAAACTCAACCGATCCCCCACCGATCTATAAAACATATACATATTCATATATAGAGCAAATAATACTAGATATTTGGTGTTTAGAAATTGGAATTTTTGGCAGAGAGAATCTACGAAACATTCAAGAGAAAAACTATAGAGGTTCGGAAAAGTGATTTGTTTGATTTTACTGACGAAGCAGATTTAGTAAAAGTCATCCATTATCTTAGAGGGAATATTATGTTCTGCGGATCGTTTGATGTCTTTTGGTTTTAATATTTGATTCACTAATCTAAAACCAATCCTATGGGTTGTTCTTTTAATTGAAAGAAATTTCCTAATATTTAAAGATTGCCATGGTAAGTCATGGGATCATAATGATCATGGTTCATTGGCAAAAGAAGATTTTGGTTTGTTTTTCTTAATCTCTTTTAAAGGTTTGAAAAGAATTTTGGGGTTTTCCCTAATTGCTTTCTTATTTCTGGTCTTTCTGGCCAGTTAGCAATTCTTCAAAAGCTTTCAAAAGCTCGTTTTTCTTTGCTTTGTTTCTTTTCTCTTTTTATTCCCCCTTCTTTTTCGGAGACAATCTTGTTTGCCCAATTAATTTATTAAGGCTTTGTTTTGCTCGTTAGCAAGAAGGTGGTGATATGGTAAAGTATCTGAAAAGAAATATCTTATTTTTGATATCCATGAAAGTGTGGTTTTGATCTCTCAGCGATCTCTACTCCCCTCACTTCTCCTCCAACCACCCTCTCTTTGGAGGGGTTCTCTCAGCGCTTTCTATGCCCGTTTTGTTAATTGTTAATCAGCAGAGACAACAAATGCTGCCCGCGAGGCATTCGTTCAAGTTCAAGGTCGGCTAAATTATAATGTGTTTCTATGTGTGAGATTGTGGCGGTGTTGTTTTTGTTGTTTTTAATCAGCATTGTTCACATGAGTTTTTTTTTTTTTGTTTGTTTTTAAAGCAACAATAATATTAATGTTGATATCTCTGTGAATGTATCTCGTTTTTTGTGCGCTTGCTTGATGTTTTCTTCTCGCAGTTAGCTATTTTTAAAATTTTGTGCTGCATCCGTGTAAGAAAAAAACTCATTCGATGCGACGATTAAAGATAATGGTGGTGTTGCATAAAGAAGAATCAAGTTTGGGAATTTTTGTCGTTGGGAATTTCTTTAAACGCAGAAAGCTGGTTGTGGTGTGAAAAAAGAGAGAGAGGGAGAAAGAGAGGGAGAAAGAGAGGGAGGTGTAGTGCCTTGAAAAACCACTTTAATTGGCTATACTTTGCTTAGATTGCTTTATTATGGGCGAGATTTTTATTATCTGGCAAGACTTGAGCTTATATAACAGAAGTTTGCATAGTTAGAGGGAGACTTGAGGTTTTTTATTGTCGTTCCTTAACTTGATTTAATGCTGGAAGTTGTAGGTTTTCAATATGAGCTTTTATAAATCATTACTTTGGGTATTAAAACGGATAAGAAATCTGTTTGTTTGTATTTCTAAAAAACTAAGAGTGACTAATTTTGTAAAGAAATTTACAATTTATGTTCAAATCAGAACTAAAAAAGTCATCAGAGAAATATTTTAATACCCACTTAATAAGGATTTGATGACTAATTTGATTTGCTGGCTAATTTGATTAAAAAAAATCGTATTTTTCCATAAATTAAAAATGAAATTATAAAGTTTCAAGTTCTAGAATATTCTTTAACCACTCCCCCCCTATCAAAATTAGTTTTTTTTCTTACCATTTCCAATGACGACTGCCACCTCCCTGTTTCGGTTTTGGCCCAGTTGAAAGCTGTTTGCATGGCCTTGACCCAATTTACACAACAGGCACATACACACACAGATACACACACGCACCAACAGGCACAGTCGCCAGATAATTTGTTTTTTCTATATATATTTTTTTTGTGTAACTTGCAAAATGAGTCCAAAGCTTT